TTTTTTTTTTGTACAACGGGAATTGGGGGATAGGGAAGGGGGGTCAAGAGAATTTCAAACCTGGTGGGGTGGGTGAAACACCCATCCATCCAATGGATACACGAGCTATTCACCAAGATTCTTACAATTTTATTGTTAAAATTACCTTAGATTACAAAATTAGTACCATTAAGTAACAAATTATCCGTTCTGAGGCTTTCTATCAATGAATTTTTATTGTAAACTATTTTTTTTCTTAATTTTAATAAATTTAATTTAATTTTTTGCCTTTAAAATATAAATTTTAAATAAAAATTTAATTAGTCAATGAGCAATCAAAAGTAATTGCTTCTTTTAGGATGTGTATCTGCCAAGCCTTCGTGTTTAGAGGGTTTTCTAAGGGCATAAAAGTAATCTTTTCTTATATTTTAACTCATATCATTGGTATCTTATATGACTTAAATTCAGGATGAAGTTAGGAATTTTGACTAAGGGGTCAAATTTTCAAGTCTCAAAATGGTACATGTATAATAAACATTAATATTGACTTTTGAATCTTCTTTTAGTGTAGGCTCTTGTTGAGGATCCTCAACTATCTTTTTGATGCCCCTTCATTTTCCCTTGAGATTTCTTCTCTTTTTCTTTTGAAAAATGATTCAATTGTTCCTTTTTTTTTTCCATTGATATAATGATCCTAACAAAAAGCAAATAAATAATAATAATAATAAACTAACATATATGATAAACAAAAAAAAAATTCTAATCTAATTCATGGCATCCCTAATCATAAGTGCTAAATATACAATATATTGAAGAGGGTGCTAAAAGTATAGATTGTATAGTTGTTTTTATTCAAATTTTAAGTGTAATTGTCATTTGTCATTTTCAAAGTGTTTCTAAACTTTTTAATTCATCCACTAATAAGATATCATATCAAATTACTAATTTTTATTACTAGAACATATTCATTAACAAGTATAAGACAAGTTTAAATTAAAATAAAAGAGACTTATAATTTGTGATCTCTTCCATTAATTCATGAAAAAGACTAAGAGAAAGAGAATATCTCTTACTCTCTTTTCCATTCCACTATCCACTGGTGATTGGTCCCTTCAATGGTAGCAGTAGCAAAGGCTGAGGCTGT